TGTCCTAATTTACAATCTGCACAACAAAACCCTACAGCGGTTAGCACACTCATAGCCAAAGAAGTGGCAGAGGGCTTCCTATTGTGACCCTTTCAGTCCCCTCCTTTTTCCACATGGCGGACAAACCCCATCGGTATTGTCACAGGGAAATCTTCCCACAAACAAAGACTTATCATCGATCTGTCTGCACCTCACACCTCTGCCACACCTAGTCTGAACTCCCTTATCCCCTCTGAGGAATTTTCACTTCAATACTCCACCATAGATCACGCCATTACAGCTATCATGCAGGCAGGGGTCGGAGCATGGCTCAGCAAGACTGACATTACAAATGCCTTCAAATTATTGCCTATCCACCCTACACTATGGCACCTGCATGGCATTAAGTGGGCCGGGCACTACTACTTTTTCTCACGCCTAACGTTTGGTTCAAAAAGTAGTCCGGCCATTTTCGACGTATTCGCCGAAACATTATGCTGGTTATTATTAAATGTAGCCAGATGCCCTACAGTTATACACTACCTGGATGATTTCTTACTGATCGAAGAGAACACTTCCCCTCCCAGTAGCCTCATAGAAACCATCAGTCTTTTTAAACAGGTGGGTGTTCCAGTCTCCCCCACCAAAACTGAAGGACCAGATACAGTCATCACCTTTCTGGGAATCATGCTAGACTCAGCCACCATGCAAGCCAGCCTGCCACGCACCAAGATAGAGAACATTCTTACCAACATTAACCTCTACATACACCTCGGTACTTGCAACCGCAAAGAATTGCAGTCTCTACTTGGGTCACTGAACTTTGCCATGCGCATTATACCTCAAGGCCAGGCTTTCATCTCACGGCTCCTATACATGTTCCCACTGTTTAGACATGATGCACACAGGTTACCACTGGATACCCAAGCCACGGCAGACCTACTTATGTGGAGAAACTTTTTGACTACCTGGAATGGGAAAAGCATGTTTCTCCCTAAATTGTCTGACTCCTCACCTACCATCTGGTCAGACGCGGCGTCTACCACAGGTTTTGCAGCAATTTACGGGAATGAATGGCTTTGGGGTAGCTGGCCTCCAGAGGTTCAGGACCTGGAAGGTTTTTCCACTACCTCAGCTCTATTTGAGATATATCCCATTGTGGCAGCTGTCGTGACATGGGGGCATCTATGGGCAGGTTTGTCAGTACGTCGCTACTCAGACAACCAAGTTACCTGCCACATCATAAACAAAGGCCGATCCAAGTCACTGACCATTATGAGGTTCTTGAGGAAACTCACCTGGCTGGCTGCATGCCATGATTTCTTCTTGTTTTGTGTTCATGTACCAGGTGTATGTAACACGGCTGCTGACAATCTGTCTCGTTTCAATTTACAGGCTTTTCGGCAAATACTTCCGTCAGCCGCACGCACAGCCACGACCATTCCACCTTTCCACCAGCTAGTTATGGACTAGAAGCTATCATGCAACATAGCAGGACATTGGCACAATTAGCACTGTCCACCAATACCCGGAGAACATATGACAGGGCTTTCCTTCTATTTAAAAGATTCCTGTCACTGCACAACATCACACAACCTTTCATCATGACATCTTTGTTGGGTTTTGCTTCTTTTTGCCACCTCAAACTTAAATTATCTTACAACACAATCAAGCTATATATGACAGGCGTACAACATCACATGCTAACATTACAACCAAACAACATAAGTTTCATGTCCTCCTACCAGATCAAGAACATCCTTAGGGGTATCCAGAGATCCGAACCCCCACGTACCGCGCAAAGGCTACCTATAGACTTCAATATTTTCAAAGATTTATCCAGCCTACTAGATTTAAAACCCTTTGCGAACAACACAAACCTTGTTATAAAAACCGCCATATACGTGGCTTTTTATGGGTTCTTGAGACCAAGAGAATTTACCGCCATCAACACATCCCAGTCCACTCACATTCTGCTTCATTCACACTTAACAAAACACATGGATTACTATATCTTAGCCCTGCATCACTCCAAAACCAATCAACACGCACCCCCGGTAGAGGTTAGATACTATCCTACCCACAACGAGTGGTGCCCCGTCACATTACTGGACACATATACTCAGCATTTCAAAGCATCACCATCTCAACCACTTTTCTGTCTACAAGGTTCGGTACTCACTACCACCACCTTCATGACCCACGTCAGGTCCCTACTTACACAACTAGGCCTAAAATCAGCTAACTATTCGGGCCACTCCTTCCGCATAGGGGCGGCCTCCACAGCGTCCAGTGCAAACATTCCAGTACATGTTATCAAGTCACTAGGGCGCTGGAAGTCTTCTGCATACTCTAGATACATACCTAACCCGGTACAAGAAGTTAGAAATGCCTTTCAAGATATGTCTGGTTAAAGTATGTATATTGCTCGTTTCGTAATAAAAGTTTATTTTCTACTTTTGCCCTCTTTATTTACAGGCCTACCTCATCGTCGGTTCCGGCACACCACAACCGACTTGCTCTTTTAATACCATCCCACACTTATCAGTGTTTGTATCTTCTGTACTATCATGAGCCCTTAACACAAGTATTAAGGCCTTTTGGCCTGTAATTGTGGGAGGGGCGTATGACTCACCTTCTCCCTACTTAAGGGACACCCCTTACCTGGCTCCATACCGTTCGAGGTCAGCGCTGCATCACCCTCCCACCCACTCCTCTTTTATTAACTCCTTTTCTCTTACATTTCTTCTTGGTGGGCCCTCTTTATTTACAGGCCTACCTCATCGTCGGTTCCGGCACACCACAACCGACTTGCTCTTTTAATACCATCCCACACTTATCAGTGTTTGTATCTTCTGTACTATCATGAGCCCTTAACACAATCCACAATCCAAGCATCCTCTTATGAAGTCCCACAGCAGTATTTATAAAATCCTCAATCTGGCAACTCTGGGTCCTGGAGTCCGATCCCCTTGGGGTCTGGGGTAGATCAGCCAACTATTACAACCGACAAAAATCGATTTTGTGTATATATATATATATATATATATATATATATACATATATACATACACACACACACACACACACACACATACCCACAACTAAGTGAAGTAATATATAAAAGAAAGATCTGTGAACCAAATCATATATACTATATAAAATATTGAAAATACAAGCTGCTGTGTTATAAATTATCTAAACGGAAAACTCCCCCCACAAAATAGTGTGACATAGTTATGTATAAGTGCAGGGGGAAGGGAAGATAGAGCACTCACAAGATGTAAATGAATAGTAGGCACGTCTACCCTCAGGGGTATCACTCAATTTTGATTGGGTAGTGTGAAATTTCAGGTAATGAAGAGATAATAGATAGTGCAGCATAGTTGGTACAAATTTAATTTAATAAATAAAAGCACTTACAAGCACATAAAAAAATCTGGGAATGTCTCCACAACAAGTAGACATCAGGAACTGGAAAATCTTGTATAGTTCCACCAAGGATAGCAGCAACATGAAATTACTAAAAGTACATAAAAGTCTGATAAAAGTCCAACATACAATGCGTTTCATTCCTCTCAGGGGGCCTCTTCAGGAAATCCATGCACTGTAATGTCACATGCTGCTAGTTTATTGTCTGCTACTTGAAAGAATATTCATAATACCAGATTGTGAAATATACTCTATATACAAGGGTTCAAAGCATCTACTGTTTGAAAAATATGTCACCAGTACATGGTACACTTATCAAATGCCACTTGCTCTAGTCTAAACACTTTATTTATGGTTCATAGACAAGGCTGAGAATATGCTTAGTTTTGTCAGCTATTCACAATACTTTTCAATGTAAAATGTTGCATACAGTTAAACCAGCAAGAACAGACAGTTGTCCTCTCTGGAGAGACACAAATGAGCGCATGAATCACTGTTAATTAATCAAGGCACAATTTGTTTATTGTTTTTATGTTGCCATGGGAATAAATTGTTCTTGAATACTGAATGTGTCAGACGAAAGAGTGAATCAGGCTGTGTGGGCAGATTATGAAAGAGTAGTGTGTACTACTCTGTAAAAAGATAAAACATATGTTTTTTTGCTTACTACAAAATTACTTCATTGCACACAATGACCGCTCAGGCGTCAGGACCATTTTAACAGATCAACTGCTTTTTCTTGAGATATCCAGCTGTGTTCTATGCTGCTTGTTTGCATTTTGAAATCCCAGTTAAAAATGCATTTCACAGACAATTACAGGTCATAAAACCATGAATGAATTCTATGATGCATTATGAATCTGACATGCACAGAATGCAAAGTATTCTGTTTTTGCAGTAGTTTCATGGCTGCTTTTACATATTTTTTGGGAAGGAATGTTTGTTTGCTAAGCTATTTACTACCACTTGTGGTTTTTGGCTATTTTTTTTAATGTTGACTTTGTATGTAATTGAAGCTGTTTGATCATTTAAATCACTTATATTTTTTACTCTCACATGTAATTTCTTTTCCAGTCTACATTTTTTTTCTGTCAATCATTTTTCATTCAGACATATGTATAAATATACAATACAAGTAAGCAAGACACTCAACACAATAAGGTCATATAGCAAGTCAAAACGCTTCAGCACTATAGCCTCATTTTTATAATAAGATAGATATGCGGTCTAATGAAGGATCAAGGAAGTAGACCACTGAAAAGAAACATAACACTATGCAGGTGCACCACAGTTAGAAAAATCAAAGATTATAGACAGAAATAGCCACTATTTGCAGGTCATAAAAGAGGGGTGAAACAAGATGGTGCCACCATTGCAAATGTCCGCATAGGACAGGCGATAAGTCAAAAGCTAGGTTCAACTGACTCCCGTTGGGAGGTAAGTGAAATATGTTGCTCGGAAAATCCCAATGCATGTCAGCACGTCCTCCGCTCCAGACCCGCCAACTTTGCCACCCCTTGGACTCAGATGCTCTCGATGATTGTCATCTTCTCCCTACTGGGACAGCAAAAGGGTCCAGGAAGAGATTGTCACTTTTTGCGCTTCAGTCTACGCACCCGAGAGTGCTGCAGTGAAGTGCGGCCCCTAGAGACTGGTGGTCTAGGCCAGCCAGCAAGCAGCTGAGTTGGTATTGGAGAGAGCTTTTTATCTTGAGGGGGTTTTCCCGCTCTCAGCTGCATGTCTTCCCTAGCTTCTTCCCGATGCCTTCTGAGGACAGCTTTTCCACAATCCTCTAAACGCTTCCAGGAGCGCCATAGTATTTCCTCAGGCTGCAGTAAGCAGTACTCAGCGATGCTGCAGTGAGCTTCATGAGAGAGGTCAAACTTCAGCATGCTCTAAGGATGGGTATACCCCAGGGCCGGACTGGGAAAAAAATTAGGCCCGGGCATTTTTCAATCAGAGCGGCCCCCTAAGAAGGGGCCAGAGAGTGTGTGTTTTGTCATCACTAATGACAAGCACGCCCCCTCTCAAAGTGAGCATGTTGGTTCAATGCCCAGAGCCCTACTGAAGAGCTCTGGCATTAGAAAAAGGCCTTGAATTTGTTCTGCGCAGCGCAAGCAAATTTAATAACATGCTTGTGCTGTGTTTGCTTTTAAATTGTCTCTGGTGTCTCCACAAGTGGGATACCAGAGGACAAAAGGGCCAGGAAAGTGCATGGTGCATATGTTTGGAGCCTGCTTGTGGGATTGCGTGTGTGTAGAGTGTGGTGTGGTATTGTGTAAATAGGTCAATTTCATTTGTGTTTGTGGTGTAGTATGTGTGGCTAGGGGCTGTAGAAAGTGTGTGTATAGGGGGCATAGTTTTATAGGGGATGCAGCGAGTGTGTGCATACGGGCTGAAGTGTGTGTGTATAGGTGACGTAGTGTGTGTAGGGGTTGCAGAGAGGGTGTGTTTAGAGAATGTTGTATGTGTTTGCTGACAAGGAATGTAGTGTGTGTGTGTGTAGGAGATCTACTGTGTAAAGGACCCAGTGTGTGTGTGTGTGTAGAGGATTAAGAGTGCATATAGGGTAAGGGATCTAGTGTGTATCTGGAGCGTAATCTGTGTAGTGGTGCAGTGTGAGGGGTGCTGTAGTGTGTGTGTGTGTATATATATATATGTCCTGAAGAAAGTCCACAACGATGGACTGAAACGTCGACCTCTTGACCTATTGGATTAAAAGGTTTCTCATTTTTTGCAACACAAAAGTCCTTGAGTGCTGGCTTTCTTTGAACTCTCTCTCTCTCTCTCTCTCTCTCTATATATATATATATTTGGACTTATTGTATGTGTGAGGGGCGCAGTGTGTGTATGTAAGAGGGGTGCTGTGTGAGGGTGTTTTTATATGCTGTCACATTCTAGGTTTCTAATTTTCTTTGTCTGTTAACTCACTGAGGGTTATTTTATATATATGTGTGTGCTGTATATGTGTGGGAGTGTGCTGTGTGTGTCTGGGGGTGCTGTGTGTGTCTGGGTGCGCTGCGTGTGTCTGGGGGGTGCTGCGCGTGTCTGGGTGCGCTGCGTGTGTCTGGGGGGTGCTGCGTGTGTCTGTCGGGGTGCTGCGTGTGTCTGTCGGGGTGCTGCGTGTCTGTCGGGGTGCTGCGTGTCTGTCTGGGTATGTATTTTTTATTTAAATATTTTTTTTTTATCAATAAAAAAAAAAAATTATATCCCCCCCTCCCTTCTTACCTTTATCCTGGGAGGGGAGGAGATCCGTTCTGCCTGGGGGGTGGGGAGCCATGCTGGGGTGGGGAGCCTGAGGGTTAGAGTTCACTCTCGCGAGATCTGAGCTCAGAATCCCGTGAGAGGACCCGGCGGAGCTGCTGGTTAGAGTCCTCTCCTCCCTCCCTCCCTCCCTCCCCAGCCTGCGGCCGCATTTCCATGCCTCTGGGCTGGTGAGGGAGATCTTTGATCTCCCCACCGGCCCACGGAGGCACATAGCAGGGCCGGCACTCGGATAGCGCTGGCCCTGCAGGGGCCGGCCGGGGAGATCCCCTGCCAGCCTCGGCCCCACGGCCATCGCGGCCCACCGGGCATTTGCCCGGTATGCCCGATGGCCAGTCCGGGCCTGGTATACCCCATCTTGTGTCAGCGAGGCTCTCCCCCAGCGGGGTGTAGCTAAACCAGTCGATAGTTATCCAGAGGGGACCGAGATAACCCCCACCGGTTCAGAGGGGGAGTAGGAGTTCTGTTATGCCGCACAGTAAATTTGGAGGGGAAAGAATGGCTGCCTCTCCCCCACTGCATCGCTAATAGGCTGCAACAAGGTTTGTCCCTATGGCTGAATAACTCGCTGTGTGTGCTGCCTCCCTGTATGTGCCCCTCAGCTGGGGCATTGAAAGACAAAACAACCAAAAGGAGGGAGTGGAGCCATAAAAGGAGCATGTTGTGTCATCTCCAAGAACACACATCTCACTAAAGTGGGCATGTGTGTTTGATGGCCCTCAGGGCAGTCTTGCTGAATTCATACATGGGGAAAAGGCCCCATGTATGAGCAAAGTTAATGAAACACTGTTTGCTTGTGATTTGTTTCTATTGTTCCCATAGAAACATAGAATGTGATGGCAGATAAGAACCATTCGGCCCATCCAGTCTGCCCAATTTTCTAAATACTTTCATTACTCCCTAGTCTTATCTTATAGTTAGGATAGCCTTATGCCTATCCCACGCATGCTTAAACTCCTTTACTGTGTTAACATCTACCACTTCAGCTGGAAGGCTATTCCATGCATCCACTACCCTCTCAGTAAAGTAATACTTCCTGATATTATTTTAAACCTTTGTCCCTCTAATTTAAGACTATGTCCTCTTGTTGTGGTAGTTTTTCTTCTTTTAAATATAGTCTCCTCCTTTACTGTGTTGATTCCCTTTATGTATTTAAATGTTTCTATCATATCCCCCCTGTCTCGTCTTTCCTCCAAGCAATACATGTTAAGATCCTTTAACCTTTCCTGGTAAGTTTTATCCCACAATCCATGAACCAGTTTAGTAGCCCTTCTCTGAACCCTCTCTAAGGTATCAATATCCTTCTGAAGATAGGGTCTCCAGTACTGTGTACAATACTCCAAGTGAGGTCTCACCAGTGTTCTGTACAATGGCATGAACCCTGTTACATATCTTAGTATCATCAGCAAAAGACATACCTTACCATCAAGACCTTCTGCAATATCACTAATAAAAATATTAAAGAGAATGGGTCCAAGTACAGATCCCTGAGGTACCCCACTGGTGACAAGTCCAAGCTTTGAATACATTCCATTAACTACAACCCTCTGTTGTCTGTCACTCAGCCACTGCCTTACCCATTCAACAATATTGGAATCCAAACTTAAAGATTGCAGTTTATTGATAAGCCTTCTATGTGCAACAGTGTCAAAAGCCTTACTGAAATCTAGGTAAGCAATGTCTACTGCACCACCCTGATCTATAATTTTAGTTACCCAATCAAAAAATCAATAAGATTAGTTTGGCATGATCTCCCTGAAGTAAACCCATGTTGTCTCTGATCTTGAAATCCATGTGTTTTTAGACGTTCATCAATCCTATCCTTTAACATGGTTTCCATCACTTTCCCCACTACTGAAGTAAGGCTTACTGGCCTATAGTTCTCCTCCCTATTACCTTTCTTGTAAATGGGCACAACATTCGCTAACTTCCAATCTTCTGGGACTACTCCTGTTAACAATGAATGGTTAAATAAATCTGTTAATGGTTTTGCTAGTACACCACTAGTGATGTCGCGAACACGAAATTTTCGGTTCGCGAGTGGTGAACTCGAACTTCCGCAAATGTTGGCGAACCGGGCGAACCGCCATAGACTTCAATGGGCAGGTGAATTTTAAAACACACAGGGACTCTTTCTGGCCACAATAGTGATGGAAAAGTTGTTTCAAGGGGACTAACACCTGGACTGTGGCATGCCGGAGGGGGATCCATGGCAAAACTCCCATGGAAAATTACACAGTTGATGCAGAGTCTGGTCTTAATCCATGAAGGGCATAAATCACCTAACATTCCAAAATCACAATGGATATGGATTGACACCTGACATATGACATATTGACACCTTGACATATGGATTGACACCTGTCCTCAGAGACCCTGATACACACTGACACAGAGCAGAATAGGGAATGTTCCCCCTACATAGGGTCACTTGGCAGATATGGATTGACACCTATCCTCAGGATCCCTGACACACTGACACAGAGCAGAATAGGGAATGTTCCCCAGAATAATAGGGACTGTTCCCCACATAGGATCCCTGATACACACTGACACAGAGCAGAATAGGGACTGTTCTCCAAGCATAGGGTCACTTGGCAGATATGGATTGACATCCTCAGGATCCTGATACACACTGACACAGAGCAGAATAGGGAATGCTCCCCTACATAGGGTCACTTACAGATATGGATTGACACCCATCCTCAGGGATCCTGATACACACTGACAGTTGTTGGTGAATAGGGACTGTTCCCCCTACATAGGGTCACTTGGCAGATATGGATTGACACATATCCTCAGGATCCCTGATACACACTGACACAGAGCAGAATAGGGACTGTTCCCCCTACATAGGGTCTCTTGGCAGATATGGATTGACACCTATCCTCAGGATCCCTGATACACACTGACACAGAGCAGAATAGGGACTGTTCCCCCCTACATAGGGTCACTTGGCAGATATGGATTGACAGCTATCCTCAGGATCCCTGATACACACTGACACAGAGCAGAATAGGGACTGTTCCCCCCTACATAGGGTCACTTGGCAGATATGGATTGACACCTATCCTCAGGATCCGTGATACACACTGACACAGAGCAGTATAGGGAATGTTCCCCCTACATAGGGTCACTTGGCAGATATGGATTGACACCTATCCTCAGGATCCCTGATACACAATGACACAGAGCAGAATAGGGACTTTTCCCCCTACATAGGGTCACTTGGCAGATATGGATTGACACCTGTCCTCAGGGACCATGATACACACTGACACAGAGCAGAATAGAGACTGTTACCCCTACATAGGGTCACTTTGCAGATATGGATTGACGCCTGTCCTAAGGATCCCTGATACCCAATGTCACAGAGCAGAATTGGGACTGTTCCTCCTACATAGGGTCACTT